CATCCCTGCCTCTTCGGTCCACCCTCGATTCCTGTCGACGGCCAGCCCTGCTCGAAAAGCTTCGACATGGGCGTCCACGGGGCGTGCATCCTTGTCCTCGCCGCCGTCGATCCTCGGACCTCGATCCTCGACTCTGGGATCTCGATCCTCGATCCTCGGGTTTCGACTCTCGATCCTCGATCCTCGGCTTTCGGTCCTCTTAACATCATCTCTTTCTCCTCCCACATGCTGGCCTCCGGTAGGCAACATTTATAATCCCCCCGCGACCCCGAACTTTCTTATCCCTGTGGGATTATTCTCCGAGGCATAGGGTTAACTGATTAAGAGACCTCCTTCTGGATGGCTGGGGCAGCGTTTCCGCACCACCTTGCCAGAACGCTGGCCCCGTTTCTGGAGCACGTTCGCCCCTTCCAGCGTTGAGACAAGAGTCGGCCCAGGCTCGTTCAGAGACGCTGCCGGGAAGCCGGGCCCAGACGTCTTGCATGGTGATTTTGTGGATCCGATGTTCGGCGATCTCCGTTTTGACTGTACCTGCGGCGCCTGGGGGCACCCCACTTCGCGCCTCGGGGCACGGTGGCGGATAGTGCGCCCCTGCTGGCCAGAGGCCGAGGCCAGGTGGGCGGCGCCTCAGAGGAGGTTTGGAGGAGGAGGAGGAGGAGGAGGAGGAGGAGGAGGAGGAGGAGGAGGAGGAGGAGGATGGAGGCCCAGCCGCGCTGAAAAGCTCACGACGCTGCCGCCGCAGGGTCGCGCGCGGGCGCCCTCCGCTCCCGCGCGGGGGCGCCCCGAACAGGGCCCTGCCCTCGAGGGTCGGGCGGAGCTGCCGCCGCTTCCTCGGCGGGAGGGGCGGCGGAAGCAAAGCGAGGCCGCCTCCGCCGGCGGAGGCCGGCGGGCGCTCGGCGGAGAGGCCGGCGGAAGCAGAAGTCGACCTCCGACGATCGGGGGCGACGGAAGCGGCCCCTGGCAAGCCATCCTCTTCCGTGGCGTGCCCCCTCGCCCCACCCCAAGGCGTGTGCATGCGGCCGGAGGGCAGCTCGAGAGGCGAGGAGGGCGCCAGAGAGGGGGGTGGCTGCTGCCCGCAAGACTCGTCAAACAGAGATGGGCGGTTTTTGTTCTCGGTGCTTGCGTGGTGGGCGCTACTTCGATGCTGGCTTGAGGCATTCGGCCCAGACGCAGGGGTGTCCGAATCCGGCAGCACCCTCTCGGCATCGAGGTGTCCTGACACGTGCCCTAAACCATCGAGCGCTTCGATTCTGGACGGCGTTTCAAACCATTTTTGACGAGGCTTTGTGGGGGTCGGTGAGGCCGCGCCCGAAAAGAGGCGGCAAGATTCTTGGGTGCAGGGTCTCCGGAAAGCGGCCACGTGGCGCGCTGCGCCGGGCGCCCCGCGCCGGCCAGCGCGCAGGGGGGCCGCCAGCCTACGAAGGTGCGCAGCGGCCCCTTCCCCTCCGTGGTTCCCGCGGCGGCACGGTCCGCACAGTGGAGGCCCATGCCAAGAAGCACCCTGCTCGTCTCCAGGGTGCCCGTGGGTTTCTTGGGTTTCGATGGTTTCGCCGTGAGAAGCGCGACGTCCCCACACCAGAAAGCAAGGGATGGGTTGGGTTTCTCGTGGGTCAGGTTTCTCGTGGGAGGTCTCTTGTGGATTGGCCTCCACTGCATCTTCCGCCTCTGGCTCTTCCTCCTCTTCCTCCTCCTCCTCCTCCTCCTCCTCCTCCTCCTCTCCTCCCCTCCCCCTCCTCCTTTCCTCCCCTCCTCATTCCCTCCTCCTCCTCCTCCTCCTCCTCCTCATCCTCCGCCTCCGCCGCGTCCGCTCCCCTCAGATCTCCCCCCCCCCCCCCCCCGCCTCCCCCCCGTCCCCCGATCGGCGGCGCGCGAGGGGGAGAAGGAAGTGAGGAGGCGAAGGCCTTCTCAGCAGGCGGCGGCGGGGCCTCTCGGAAGCCTTCGCGCCTTTTGAGCAGTCTTCTGCGGGCAATGTCTTTATCCACATCCAGTGCGTCTGGTAGTTTCGGACACTCTTCCCAAGAAACATGAGGCGCACTGGATATGGATTATAATCTGCCTCCAAAAGGCTCAATTTTCATCCATATCCAGTGCGCCTCGGCCTTGCGGCGCCCCTTCCAAGAAAGTCCAAGACGCACTGGATATGGACATAGATATTGCCCGCATCTTCTGTGTCTTCGGGGGGGGCTTAAAAAACTCCTCATGAGGCCGGGGGTCTTCCGAGCCTTCTGAGAAGGCCCGCCCCTTCCCACTTCCCCCCCGCGCCGACCGCCAACCCGAGGCGGGCGCATCTCACCACTCGCTTGTGTTTCTGGCCAGCCCGACAGGAGGCCAATGCGCTTCGAAAGGCCGCCGCGGACGCCGCCTCCGGCATTCGGGGGCACCACTTCTGACCCGTCGCCCAGGGCAGCCGCTACCTCCTTCCTTTCTCGCTCGTCTTTTCTCCCTGTCTCCTCCCTGCTTCTGGCCCAGCCTCCCCATTCTCGGGAGAGGGAAGCATCCTCCGCCGTCCTCCATCCTTCGGGGGCGGCCAGGATGGGGGTGATGACCAGGAGAGTGTGCACACCATGGCCGGGGTCATGATATCTCCCTGGATCTCATGCCACCCTCTTCGTCTTCAATGCGTTCCGCGTGGTTCCCCCCCTCGTGCGCACGCCTCGGGTCATGCTTTGCGCCCCTCCCTCGTGGACGCCCCCCTCCGGGCCGGCCGAAGCCTCCCCCCTCTCGGGGAATGGGGACCCATGCACGACCACCCAGGCCTCCAGAGGCCTGCGTCCTGGCGGCGGGAACCAGGGGCCACGCGCGCGTTCCGCTACTCGCAGCGTGCCTACTCGCAAACGTTCGGGAAAAGAACGCATGTTCGCCTCGATGCAATGGGTCGTAAATCCTCCTCGGCGGAGCCAGGTCATTTGCGAGCACGGGAGGTCCGTATCGTGTCGACTGGCGGCGACCCCGCCAGCGGCGTTCAGCGTTGAACGCCGCGGGCGACCCAGAATCGTTCGATGTGGAACGATTTGGACGCTTCGGAAACGGCCGATCGTTCAAGGCTGAACAATCCCCGCGGTGTCAGAAACCAACGCCGAAGTCGGCACGACATGAATCTGACGTACAGGCGGCTCGGATTAGTAGGTCGACCCTGCCAGCTCAAGGGTACCCTTGTGTCCTGTGCCTCGCGACACGTGCCTTCTTACACTCCTATGGCGATGTGCCCCTCGGAAAGGATATTTTGTCCTCTCGCGTGTCCTCTCCAATCAAGTCCTACTGTAGTCGCTTTGCGAGTAGTGGAACGCATTCGTTTTAGGGGGGGCGGAACGAGGGAGGCGGCCTGCTTGGCGAGAGGGCCGGGGTCTCCTCGGCAGGGGTCGTGCTCTCCTCCTCCTCCTGCTCCTCCTCCTCCTCCTCCTCCTCCTCCTCCTCCTCCTCCTCCTCCTCCCCTCCTCCCCCATCCTCCCCTCCCTCCCCCTCCTCCCCTCCTCCTCCTCGCTCCTCCTCCTCCTCTCCTCCTCCTCCTCCTCCTCCTCCTCCTCCTCCTCCTCCTGGGAGGCAGGCGGGCTCCCAAGAGGCAGGCGGCCCTCTCTTAGAAGAGCGCCTGCGACTCGCCCCGCTCCCCCTCTTTTTTCGCGCCGCCACTCGGTGGGTGTGGTGGTGCTGGTGGTGAGTGCTTTGGTTTCTAGGCCGAATCCTCGGAGGTTGGTAGACCTCCTACCCTGACACGTCGATTGGTGAATTGGCCGTTTTCGGCTCGCGAGAGGGCGTCGCGGCCGTCATGTTTCCGGGTCCAGGTCCGTCGGTTTCGGTCCCAGGCCGTGGTTTGCTAAAGGGAGGTTTGTCCTCCGCCAGGAATCCTCCCCCTGCGTCTTTGACATTTTAGTGCGTCGGCGGTTGTGGATGGTTTCGCTGTTGTTTTCGTTTGCAACCGAGTGCTTTCCTTGATCTTCTCGTGCGCAGCTGTGCTCAGGGCTCGGAGCCCTTGATTTTCTTGGTGGTGGTTGTGGTGGTGGTGGTGGTGGTGGTAGTCCCCTCTCCCCTGGCCTACTCCTCGAGAGAGCGCCGGTGGAGCCGCCTCCAATCGAAAAGGGAGGGTGCTCGCGCAAACCCCCTCCCTCTAAGAGGCCAGGGTGGTCTGGGATTCACCTCGGCCACACAAGCCGCATCAAAGCGAAACTTCAGATGACCAAAAAACGTCTGACATGTTAGCATCGATGGATATATATATATATATATACATATATATATATATATGCATATCTATATATATATATATATATATATATATATATACATATATATATATGTATAGAATGCGGCTCTACACACACGTCCACACATGCATGCGTAATCGCAAGCATGCGCACACGCATGCTACTGACGGGGAAGGGGGGGCCTCCTCGCCCCCTCTTCCTCGCCACCCGCTTCCTTATCCATCTCTCCATCCTGCTCTTCCCGCTGTTGCTCCTTGTCCGGTTCACCATCCTCCCCTTCCTCCTCGTGCCGGTACATATACTCCTCCTCACCATCCTTTCCTCTTCCTCCTCCTCATTTGCTTCTTCGGCCCTCTCCCCCTCCTTGCAATCCAGCCATCCTCCCCCTTTCTCTCCCTCCTCTTGCGTTTTCCCCCGCGTCACCAGTTGTATTCCCTTCCTCCTCTTCCTCAGCCTCTTCCTCCTCCTCCTCCTCCCCCTCCCTTCTCCCAATACGCTCCTCGTCCTTCCCTCGCCGCCCCTCCTCGGTGTCGTCGTCGTCCTCCCCATCCTTATGATCTCTCTCTCTCTCTCTCTCTTTCTCTCTCTCTCTCCCTCTCTCTCTTTTTCTCTCCATAATCCCCCCCCATTCATTGATTCTCCTTGTTGTCTTGTCATGTCTTTTCGGCGACCCGTCGCTCCAAGACGGCCCGCGACGTCCCTGAGCTCCCCCCCTCTTGTGGACAATCACTATAGTTGTATCTACCGATGTGGTGTGCTTTCTGATTTGATTCTGGCCTAAAGAATTACGTCTGGATGAACACCATGTGACTTGTTGGAAGTGGCGGTTGCGGTGGTAGAAGCGGAGGCCCCACCATCACCGCCACGCCCACTACTTAGTGGCAATGGAAAGGTATTGGCGGTGGTGGTGATGGTGGATGTGCTGGTGGTGATAGCAGCAATAATATTGATTAGCCACAACATGCTGATGGGATCGCGCTTGCACTCGTCGCAACCAGTGGCGCCGCCCCCATAGACATTGAAAGGGTGCGGGAGAGTCGGTGGATTAGTATATAAGTTGGTGGTAGAAGCAGCCGTGGAAATATTAACGGGGGTTGGCGGATGTGGCGGTGGTGGTAGTTGGGGATCGCCTCCAGCGCCACCGCGACCATCGCCTGCCAAATGCCGTGCTGGCCGCGGGATAGGGAGGGGGGGAGGGGGGAGCACTTGTGGTGGCGGAGGTGGTGGTGGTGGCACAAACAACAGCAGTGGACGCATTCGCAGACGTTGGTGGCGCGATGGTGGCGATTGGAGAGGAGGCGCCTCGACCACCACCGCAGCCACCACTGCCATCCCCCATGTGCACAAAGTCCGGTGCTGTGATGTAGGCGATGGTGGTTGCGGTGGGAGTGGGGCCAGCCAGCCGCGCACATACTAGTGTAACTTGGTGGTGGCGGTGGCACTAGGGGCACCGCCACCACCGCAACCATTGCCCTCGCCACCGCCGCCACCCCCTTGCCCAGAACGGGTGGTGGTGGTGGTGGTGGCAGCGCGGGGTAGTGATGGTGGCGACGTGATTGTGGTGGTGATGGAGGCGAATGTGGCGGCGGGTAGTTGCGCCGTCAGTAAAGGCGCTCGTGGACTTGAGCGTTGGCGTTGGTAGGATGGCGTCGCATCCACCGTCGCATCCACCGCTGCGGCCGCCATCCGTGGCCACGAAGTAGTAGTGGCGGTGGCGATTGGGCAAGACGGTGGCGGTGGCTGATGTAGTTGTGGTGGTAGCAACAACAGTAGAAACTTTCGCAATGCCACAGTTTTTTCACCATCCCCCTATCTCTTTGTTTGCTGGTCACCCACTTCCCTCGATGGATGTGCTGGCGGTAGTGGGGGAATTGCATCCACCACCGCAACCACCACCACCACCACCACCACCACCACCACCACCACCACCACCACCACCACCACCACCACCACCACCACCACCACCACCACCACCACCACCACCACCTCCTTGATGCAGAAGAGGTATTGCTGGTGGTGGTGGTGGGGTCGGGTGCGCGGCGGTGTAGGCAACTGTGCTGGCGGTGATTGCGTCCGCCCCGTAAATGTCGACAGATGTTGGTGTTTGTGGTAGTGGAAGGATTTGCAAAGCCGCCGCCATCTCCAGTCCTGACCCAGGAAGGGTAGCGGCGGTGGCGGTGGGGCACGGCTGGTGGTGGCGCAGTGGTTCTGGCGACAGTGGTGGTGTTGCACGATTGCCAACCGCCGTTGTGGGAGTGAGTGGTGGCGTCCGGCAGTAGTTCGTAGAATGTGGAGGCGTCGGTGGTGGTGGCGTTGGGATCTCCTCCGCCAGCGCCGCCAGCATCAGCGCCGCCGCCGTCGCCGTGGCCCAGAACGGGTGGTGGCGGTGGCGGCGTAGTCTTGGTTGTGGAGCAGCGCTTGTTGTGGTGGAGGCGTGCGGCACCTGCTGCTGCAGCGTGCGTAGAAGCATTCGTAGAAGTGAGTAGTGGTGGTGGTCGGAAGTGCCGAACCCATTGCCGCGTCAACCACCGCCTGCTCCTTGGTCAGAGAAGGGCAGCGGCGGCGGCAGATGAGTAGCACTGCTGTGGGGGATCGGGCACTTATTCCTGCAGTGGAAGAGTAGCGGGCTTTTGCAAACAAGCCTTCGCGGCGGAATGCAGTGGAATTCCTTTATGTCGAGGGTTTCTATAAGGCTCCTTCTGTAGAAGGTTTCATGTTTTTGCGAAGGACCTTTCTGCGTCTAGTTTCGTAAAAGGATTTCAATGATAGTCCTGTTGCGGAGCATTGCAGTAAGGTTTCTTGTGTAGAGGATTTTATTGCGATCTCTGTTGTAAATGATTTCAACGCTTTTCCTTTTGTGCAGAGGGCTTCAACGGGTTTCTTGTGCAGAGGATTTCATTGCTGATCTCAACCGGATTTCTTCTGCAGAGGGCTTCAATCGAACTGATTTGGTTGAGAATTTCAATAGGATTGTTTTTCGAGGACTTCAATGCGTTTCCTTGCGTGGTGGGCCTCGTCAGAATGATACCAGAATTTTTTCCCCATGTCACACGTGTATGTATAAATACACACACACGAGTACATACTAAACACACATCGGGGACAACAGAGGACTCGCCTGTGATATCTTCGGCGCTTTGAATCAGATGATTTCGGCGTGCGCTTTCAGAGAGCATCGAGCGAAGCCACGGTTTTTTGTTTCACGTGTTCTTGATCAAAAACACATTTCGCTCGGTACTCGCTGAAACCGCACGCCAGCCGAAATCATTGGATAAGAGAAATCCAGAGGGCGTCACAGGCGAAACCTGATTTCGAAGGTGGATTTTTCAAAGGAAAAAAGAATTTGTCATTGTTTTCAGAATTTTTCCAAAACATGGGGCACGATATTATGTTGGACTGGTGGTGAGACAGATTCCGTTTGTAGAGGATGTGGGTGAATTCGTTTCGTTGCGGTGTTCAAGAATATTCTTTCTGCTGAGGATTTTAATCGAATTCCTTTCCAGGGTTTCAATAGGATTCCTGCGTCAAGAATTTCGAGCCGACTCCTGTTGTAGAGGATGCTGATAGAATTTCTTTTGTTACGGGAGGGTTTCAACTTATATATCCCTATGTGAAGGATTTCAGTATTATTTTCAGTAGAGGATTTCAGCAATATTCCTGTTGTAACGGATTTCCGTACGTGTCCTTGTGCACAAGATTTCAATTGGATTCTTCTTTCCAGCGGATTTCTACGGGGTTCGTTTTCGTCGAGGATTTCAATGGAATCCTGTTGTAGAGCATTTCAACCATTCCGTCGCCACTTTTGGCTCAAGTCCGTAGCGTTTCGCTCACGATATTCGCTCACAAACGAGGCTCCCGCCTGTTACGTTCCCCATATTCAAACCCCGGGAGCCCAAACGCGATGACAGTTACAGGATTCCGATGATCCGCCTCGGATTAAAAACATGAGCTGCGGGCCCCATAGGGAGGGGGCTCCCGCGTGAGACTTTCTCGAAATTTGCTCACAGACAAGACTCTCGCCCGATACTTCCACCATGTCCAGGCCCCAGGGGCCCAAAATTGACGACCGTTGCAGGATTCCAATGACCCGCTTCGGATATAAAAAACAGGAGCTGCGGGCCCCATAGGGGGGGACTCCCACTTGAGATTCCCCCACAATTCATTGATAAACGAGGCTCTGGCGTGATACTTCCTGGATGATGATGATGATGCTGATGAAGGTGCTGATGACGGTGTGTCTGTGTTTGTGAGTGGGTGGTAGTGGATGACGGGGTAAGTGAGTGCGTGAGTGAGTGGGTGAGTGAGTGGGTGAGTAGGTGAGGGACTAGGTGGGTGAGTGAGTGGCTGAGTGTGTGAGTGGGTGATGATGACGAGTGTGTGAGTGAGTGAGTGTGTGAGTGGGTGAGAGAGTGGCTGAGTGAGTAATTGTGAAGGATGATGTGTGTCAGCGATTGAGCGAATGAATGTGCGATTGAAGAAGAGGAAAGGGTGTGTTCCTGCGCGGGAGGTGTGCAGAGAAAACCAAAACCCCACTTAGGATGTGGGGAAGAAGAACCCCACTCAGGATGTAGGAAACAAAAACCCCGCTTATGATGTGGGGAACAACGATGATGATCCTGCTGAGGATGATGTGTGTGAGTGAGTGGGTGGTAGGTGGTGAGCGAGTGTTTGTGTGAGTAAAAGAGTGATGCTGCTGAGTGAATATGAGTGTGTGTGAACGAGTGACGGAGTGTGTAAGTGATGATGCTGTGGCGGCGATGATGATGTGAGTGCTTGCGTGTGTGAGTGAGTGAGTGTGTATGTGGTGAGTGAATGAGTGAGTGAGTGAGAAGAGAGGGGGTGTTCCTATGTGTTCCTGTGTGTTCCTGCGCGGGGTGTCCACAGCAAACAAAAAACCCATTTTGGCTGTGGGGAACAAAGTTCGTTTGATACTTTCTGGAAATGCACGCCAGCCGAAATCAGTTGATTAAAACATCCGGAGGGAATCACAGGCGAAACCTGGTGTCTCGATTTCGAAGATTTAAAGACGCAGCTGACCATTTTTTTTAAACTATGAGAAACATTTGTTTGAAATCTGATGAAGCAGAGTCCGTTTGTAGAGGATTCCGATGAATTTGTTTTGTTGCGGATTTCCATTGGATTTTTTGTTGAGGATTTTAATATAGTTCCTTTTGTACAGGATTTGGATAGGAGTCCTGTTGTAAAAAAAATCAATAGGATCCCTATCGTAGAGGACTTCAATCGAATTCATGTTGTTGCGGATTTCAGCAGGATTCCTTCTGTCGAGAATTGCAATCGAGTTCTTTTTGTACAATATTTTAATCGGGTTCCATGTGTAAAGAATTACAATCGGGATTCTTTTTTGTAAAAGATTTCAATCGCATCCTTTCTGGCAAGGGTTTCAATCATATTCCTTCTGTCGGGGATTTCAGTAGTATTCGTATTGTAAAGGGTTGATTTACAAGCTGTTTTTTGGGGCGGACTTACAACTTGATTTCTTCTGTGGCTGATTCACACATTTATTCCTTGTGTGTTAGATTCGCATATTGTTTCCTTCTGTGGCGGGTTTACAATTTTCGTTTTTTTGCACCGCGTTTACACATTGATTTCTTTTGTGGCCGATTTACATGTTGAATCTTTTTGTAGCGGGCCCACAATAGAAGCTCTTCGACGGCGGATTCGTTGTTCGGCGATGCGTTTACGACGGCGTCGACGACCAGAAGGGGCTCCACCCACATGTTGAACTTGTTCCCCCCCATGGGAGACCCAGAACTCCCCGTTCTCCCCTTTTTGGGGGGGGGGGGGGGTCGGACCCCCCTCCCCTTCCCCTTTTAATGGGGTGGGTGGGGGGTTCGGACCGCCCCCCACTCCCCCCTTTGCGCCGGAGGGTGAGGGGGATGTCGGACCCCCTCCCATCCGCCCTTTGCGCAGGAGATGGTTCGGGGAGGGGGCCCGCTCCTGTTCCTGTGCGCTGGCTAGGGTTTTACAGTAGGGTGCGGGTTCGGGGGTTAGGTTAAGGTGTTAGGATAAGGGTGGTAGGTTTAGGGTTAGTGCGGTAAGCCTAGGGTCACGGTGTGAGGGTTAGGGCGTTAGCCTTAGGCTCTTAGGGTTAGGGTGTTAGGGCCACAAGACCTTGCGCGGATCAATCCTTCCCGCCTTGAGCGCTTCCCATATGATCGGCTTGTCATTTTAACGCACCAGCGCGGTCTCGTATCCGCTGCACCTTCCCAGCACAGCTGGGCTTTCTCGGGCCGATCGCGGGGCGTTTCTGGGTCCTGCTTCCATTGAGGTAGTACGCTTGGAGTGTTAGGGTTGGGGTCAGTGTTGGGGAGGTAGGATTAGGGTGCTGGCCTTAGGGTGAGGGTGTTAGTGTCAGGGTGTTAAGATGTTAGGGTTGGGGGTAGCGCGTTAGGGTTAGGGCGTTAGGGTCAGGGTTTTAGGGTGGGTGTGATCAGGATTGGTTGCTAGTGCTAGGTGGGTGTAGGGTGTTAGGGTTAGGGCGGTAGGCTTCGGGTGTTTGGGTTAGGGTGTTTGGGTTGGGGTGGTAGGGTTAGGGCTAGTGTGTTAGGCTTAGGGTGTTAGGTTTTGGGTTAGTGCGTTCAGGTGTTATGGTCTTAGGGTTAGGGTGTTCGGTTAGGGTTATGGTGTTAGGCTTAGACCCGTAGGGTCAGGGTTAAGGCTAGGGTTAAGGTTTAGGGTGTCAGGGGTAGGTTGGTAGGAGTAGGGTGTTCGGGTTAGGGCGGCAGGTTCCGGGTGTTTGGGTTAGGGTGTTAGGGTTAGGGTGGTAGGGTTAGGGACAGGATGTCAGGGTTAGGGTGTTAGGGTTAGGTCGGTAGGGTTCGGGTGTTAGGGTTGGGTTGTTAAGGGTGGGGTGTTAGGCTTAGGGTGTTAGAGGTAGGGTGTTAGGGTTTCGGCACTTTTGGGTCAGTGTTTCAGGTCAGGTTTAGTGGGTTGGGGGTTAGGGTGTTTAGGTCGGGGTTAGGGTGTTAGTGCATCGGTGTGAGGGTCAGGGTGTTACGCTTAGTGTGGTAGGGTTTGGGTTAGTGCGGTAGGGTTCGGAGTAGGGTGTTCGGGTCAGGTAGGGTCAGGGCGGTAGATTTCGGGTTTGGGTGTTAGGATTAGGGTGCTAGGGTTAAGGTGGTAGGGTTAGGGTGGTAGGGTTAGGGTTAGGGTGATACGATCAGAGCGTTAGGGTGTAAGGGTCAGGGCGTTCGGGTGTTAGGGCTAGGGTGTTAGGCTAACTGTCAGGGCTAGGGTGTTTAGGCTAGGGAGGCGGCGTGGCCAAATGGGGGGAGGGGGGGTTGCCGATCTTCGAGTCCAAGGGGGGGAGGGGGGGGTCCAAACACCCTCTTCCTCCTTATTAGCGTGAGGGAGGTGGGGGAGGGTCCAGCACGACGGATCCGGGGACTGGGGGGGGGGTCCGGGGACGACGGACCGGGGAAAGGGGGGGAGGCGAGGGGGGGAGTCCCGAACGCCACCCCGCCCCTTCAGGGGAACCAGCGGCGCGCCCTCCTACTCCTCGCTCTGGCCCTGGCCCCCTCGGGCCCCCGGGAGCCCTTTATTTTTGTAGTGGTGCTCGTCGTTCGCCCCCCTTCCCCTGGCCTGCCCACTCCCCCTGGCCCCAGAGCCCTTCACTGTCGTGGTGGTGGCCGCCGTTGGCCCCCTCTGGGCTTTCTCCCCGCTGGCTCTCGCGGGAGACCCCGCGCGCCAGCGTCGGCGCCGCGAGCGCAGCCCGGCTCTCTCGGTGTGGAGCGGACCGGCGCACGGCCAGTGTGGCCCGGATCCCAAAGTGCTCCGCTTTTCCTTCGTCCGAGGCGGGGGCTTCTCTTCGGGCGCGACATCTGTGCACGGGGCGTTGCCAAAAAGGGCCCTGCGTGCGAGGACCGGAGGAGTTGCCATCTCTTCTGCGGCGGAGGGTCGGCGGAAGGAAGACGAGGCCGCCTCCGCTGGCGGAGGCCCGGTGGAAGGCGGCGGAAGTGAAAGATGTGCCCCCAGCCCAAGAGATGAATACTCCAGATTTCGTAATAAAAGGGAGGGGGTCTGGACCCTCCAAGACAAGCCATTTCAGACCTCCCCCGTGGGAGAACCCTCCAAAACATAGTCCCCAGACCCCGCAGGCCCTCCAAGATAGCCTGGAAGAGACCCCCCCCCCCCCGAAATGAGACCCCCCTCCCTTTATTACGAAGTCTGGAGTGCGTTTTTCGCTTCAGGGCTTCCGAAATCGCCCACGCATCCACTGCCCCCTGGCCAGGCCCTTCCTGGGCTCCGGAGCCGTGTGCGCGCCTGCCTGGCCAGGCCAAGAAGGCGTGGCGTGTACGCCGCTGCTGGGTTCAGGGTGGGCCTGGCCAGGGAGCAGTGGATACGGGCCTCAGAAAAATTAGCGAACACTCATGCTACATTCATCTGTGAACGCCTCCCCCTCCCCCCAATGTTCAAAGTTGGCGGTGGGTCTGATGAGTTACACCTCGACCGCAGTCTCCCCCCCGCGTGCCAACTTTGAGTTTGGGGGGCAGGGGGGGTGTTCACTAATTGTTTCCCTCTACCGTATGTATAGGTTTCGTCGCCCCATGATCCATCGCCACCGCCCGGCGGATCGGTCTTCGGGGACCTCTCGGCGGCGAAGTCCGACCCCTACCATAGCCGATCGACGATTCAGGCAGCTCGATGGGCGGCGAGGGAAGGGTTCGGCATCCGTCGAGCACGTGGCAAAGTCCGAATCCTACCCCCGCCTCCCATCGATCCAGGAGAATCGATGCTTGGTGGGGCAGGGCTCGAATGTCGCCGCCTCACCTCGGCAGGTGGTGGATGTGGATCTATTCGGGCTCCCCGGGGCCAGAGTATATCCACGTCCACCGCCCGCTGGGGTCCCAAAGGCGGGATACACGGACAGCTCTCCGCCTCGTACTCTGGGCCCCCGAGCGCGCCGCGAAGAGGCTCAAACCCTCGGACGAGCAAGGCGTCCAGATCTCCGACGATGTGTGTTTTTTTCCATTCGGGCGCCTCGCTTCGATCTCGGCCTCGGGGGGCCGCCTTTGGGCTCTGGGGCCATCGACAACGGATCCGGGGCGACAAAGGGAGAGCTTCCCCATCCGCGGCCAAGGAATTCTGGAGGAGGAGGAGGACGAGGAGGAGGAGGGGGAGGAGGAGGGGGAGGTTAAGGGCCGCAGGTTGAAGAACTCACATCGGCAGATGTCCGGGCCCCTCCGCCAAGCAAGGGGCGCCGCATCGTAGACCTGAGGCTCCAACGTCGTGATGCAGGCCTCGGGAGAAATCAGCGAACACTCGTGCCACACTCCTCCGTCCATGCTTCCCCTCCTCCCCGATGGTGAAAGTTGGCGGTGGGCTTCACGAGTTGCACTTCGACCGCAGTCTTCCCCGCACGCGACAACTCTGAACCTTGGGGAGCGGAGAGAGTTCGGTAGCAAATCATGAGAGCCTGGCATAATTACCCTCTTCATGTCGTCCCTAGCGTCGAGTAGCGTCTGGGAGTCGATGAGGTAGCGCCGATTTGGCGTCGGCTGGCGTCGCTTGGCGTCGATCTGGTGTCGAGTCAGCGTCGAGTCAGCGTCGACGAGCGTCGACGCGCAAGAGCGGCCAAGATGGCATGGGAGGCTCCCGCGAGTCGCCACCGAACCCTCGCGCGGGCTCGCTCGCGGGCGCCGTCACCGTCGTCCTCGCGCCGCCGGAGGCCCGGGGGCCCAGGCCTCCGGCGTCTGGCCTTCCCGGCCCGCGGGCGCCCAGAGCTCCCGCGGCCCTCCGAGCAGCTGTTCCGGGCGGAGGGGAGCGGGTGGAGACATACATCGGATGTCTGTCGGCGTCGCCCCAGCATGCTACTTACCACTATATATATATTTATATGGTCGCCCCCCCCCCCCAAGATCTACATTTTGATGGGGTCTGAAGATTACATTCCTCTAAGGAAGCTTTGCATTGTTTGTGTTGGTGGTAAGTAATGCCCACCAAACGCTGCTATTTTCTAAGATTCCTAAGGCAACCGAAGGAAGGTGGCCACCAAACACTGCTATTTTCTAAGATTCCTAAGGCAACCGAAGGAAGGTGGCCACCAAACACTGCTATGTTCTAAGATTTCTAAGATTTCTCAGATTTCCCAGATTTCCGCAAACCATCCCAAGGCCCTGCAGAGCAGCCACGCGCACACAGCAACCCTGAATGGCCACCAAACGCTGCTATTTTCTGAGATTCCTAAGGCAACCGAAGGAAGGTGGCCACCAAACATTGCTATTTTCTAAGATTTCTAAGATTTCTAAGATTTTCGCAGCCATCCCCAGGCTGGCCTGGAAGGTTGCGAAAATCTTAGAAATCTTAGAAATCTTAGAAAATAGCAGTGTTTGGTGGCCACCTTCCTTCGGTTGCCTTAGGAATCTTAGGAAATAGCAGTGTTTGGCGACCATTCTGGGTTGCTGTGTGCGCGCGGCTGCTCCGCAGGGCCTTGGGATGGTTGCGGAAATCTGGGAAATCTGTGAAATGTTAGAAATCTTAGAACATAGCAGTGTTTGGTGGCCACCTTCCTTCGGTTGCCTTAGGAATCTTAGAAAATAGCAGCGTTAGGCGACCATCCAGGGTTTCTGCGTGCGCGTGGCTGCTGTGCAAGCGCACGCAACAGCAAGCCGCATGTTGGCGGTGTTAACAGCGCGGCAATGACGCAATTTCCATGGCTGGCTAACGGCGAGCCGCAGAGGCAAGGACGCAAGGGTGCCCCGCGCATGCTATGTTCATCATTGCAACGAGCGCAACAGCCATGCGAAGTCAGACGCGTGCCCTTTGTCTACCCCTGCAGCGATCTGGATGCACCCCAAATGGTTGCATGCCTCCCCGAGCAAATTCGCCTAGCACCCGCTGCTAGCTGTTAGACTCCTGCGCAGCGCCTGGCCCGCGGCGGCGGCGGCCGCCTCAGTCCGAATCCGAGTCGATCGCCACGACGCCTGTTGAGGGCTTAGAAGTACGGCTGTCGACGAGGGAGGGGATGGGGGGGGGGCAAACGAACCGCCCGACAGCCGCGAGCAGAGGAACAACCATGCCCTCGACTTTACGGGCCGTCATTCAAAAACCCGCTGGTTAACAAACGGCAGAATCCTTCGACGCCCCGCGAAAAACGCCAGACTTCTTTCCCCCCGCAACCCGTGCCTGGGAAGATCGCCTTCATCGTCTCCTTGTCCACGGGCGAAGCAGTGACGCCGCCCGCGGACGCGGGCGCGCCCGCGGGCTCCCGCTTGATGGTCGCGCCCGCGGGGTCCTTCTTGATCGGCGTGCGGCGCGCCCGCTCCTGCTTGGCATTGCCCTTCTCCTTCTTGGCGGGCGCGAGCTCCCCGATCACGCTCTTCTTCAAGGAGCTGAACTCCACGAGCGTGATGGTGCCCGCCTGGTGGAGACCCCACAGCCGCTCGAGCTCCTGCGAGAGGGCCCCGCGCGGCGGATCATCATCCTCATCGCCCTCGTAGTCGTCGCTGTCAACCCCGCGGCGGTCGCGCCTGAAGCCATCCGCGAAAGGGTCGGGCGACGCCTCGCGGTGCTCCTGCGCGCCAGGCCTCGCCCGCTTGGTTGGGCGCTCCCCTTCTGGCGCGCCTGGGGCTGGCATCTGCGACCCGCGCGCGCCGCCTCCTGGCGCGGCTGAGGTTGGCATCGGGGCCGCGGGCACATCGCGGAGGAACTCGGTCACGCGCTGCTTGTCGTTGAAAGCTTCTGCGGCCTGGCCGACGTCAAGCGGGTCCACATCGGGCCAATGGGATGCGGGCCAGGCGCTGGGCCGCCCCGCAGCACGTGGTCCGTCCAACGGCACTTCCACTCCAATGCCGCCTTGTACCCGTCAGGCACGCCCGCCGTCCCCTCGAGGATGGCGCCGTACTTGGGTTCGCTCGTCTTGCGGATCCACGTCCGCTTCTCGGGCACTGGGAACCTGTGAACAGGCACCTCATCCTCTGTCGCAAGCCGAATGTAGAGCCAGAGGTCAGTCTGCACGACGAAGTTGTTGCGCTTGAGCACGGCCACCTGGTCTGGATACAGCATGTCGATTGGCCAGGCTGGGCTGATCAAAGACATGAACTGCTCATGCGTGATGGTCTCGGCGCCGTTCTTGGAGTTGGCGGCCCCTTGCGGGGCAGGCTCTGCGCGCTGGTCGTACTTGTTGTCCAGCAACGCCCTGGGCTGACCCTTGGCCCACCGACAACCAGTCCACCGCGCCATGGCCACCGCTTCCTCTGACGCAATGTCACCGAAAGCCTTGGGAACTCTGGGGCGCTGGGTGGAAGAGTCGCCGTCGTCGAAGATGTCGGGCGCGTCAACCAGCCCAGGGCGACCCCTGAAGACATCCAGCTCAGAGCGCACGCGGTGCGATCCGTTGAGTGCTTCCTCGGTGCGCCCCATCGCGTCGATGCGCGCCTGGCGGCTGAAGCACATCATGAGAGACTTGATGCATGGGGGCTTTCCGATCCCAGCTTTGCCTAGGAACCAATTACCCTTGAGATTCCTCGACGCCATCAAGCGCGCCCCCAAGTCTACCATGTGCATCTCGTAGCCCGCCATTGTCATACCGAAGAAAGTCTGCGCGGTCGCAAGGGCGTCGGCCTGCGCGAGCTGGCGCAACGCCTCCTTCACCAGCCCGTCGCGCCACCCAGCGATCGGGCAGTTCGCCTGCTTGTGGGTCCTCTTGGCGATCCACTTCAGCTGGATAAGCTTCTCCGTGTGCCGCGGGCCCTCGTCGTAGTTGTAATCGAAGCCTGCTTCGACGGCGTCTTCGTCGAGTTCGCCCTCCTCATTTGAGGAGGGGGCCAACCCGGACGCGCGGGCTTGAAAGCCGCCCAGCCCCTCGATCATGCATTGGAAGGCCTTGAGGTTGTGATGGGCGTTCGACCCGCCAATCTCGCTCCAACTGATCATCTGGGGCGTTCCGACGCACAAGCCCTGCAAGAAGCCCTTCTTCTGCTTTTCCACCATCCCGATCACCTTGACCGCCGCGAACTTGCCGCCCTCGAGGGGAATGGCGAATATAGACATGTGGTACGAGACGCCACCCGTGTCCTTCAAGCGGAAAGGTTCTGGGAGCTCGCCGTAGGCAGGGTTCTGTCTGCCCAGGCACTTGCGAATGTCGTCTTTTGGGACTTCGCCGACGTGCTCGGAGATGATGTCCACGCCGTGCCTTACTGGCGCTTCGCCTTCTGTGAAATCGCACAGGGGCAACTGGTCAGGCCTGATGCCAGCAGGCGACTCCTCGCCGTGGTCGAGGATGGCATGGCCCTTCTTGTGCTGGACCCTTACCACGTTGACCGTCGCATCCAATGCTCTCTCCTTGGCAACCGCCTCGGCCATCGCTGCGCTGGAAGGCGGGCGCGGGGGGGAGGGGGGGGGGCGGCGGAAGCGGTTCGCCCAGTGAACCAAAAGAACGGCTGCGGACATCGATATCGCATCCAACAGCTACTTCATTCAGCCCGATACAAAAGACAGCTAGGCTTTGCGAGCCTCCCAGGCTAGAGAACATCAAGCAGCTCGCCTGGCGACAAATCCTGATCTCCGAGACAATGGAGACGCCTGGCCGAAGTTTCCTGAGCCCCGTGGTTTCTGTGCTTCGAAATAACAAAATCGAGCAACTCACCTGGCAACGTTTCCTGAGTTCCGAGACAAGGGAAGCGCGTGGCCGATGCTTCGTGGGCCCCGAGGTTTCTGCGCTGCGCAATTGCTCTCTGGTTGCGCGCGCGGCCCCGCCTACTCTCAGGCGCCCAGCCGCGCGCACCGATGCCCCAATGCTTGCAGTCTACAAGCTACCACCGCTACGCGGTGTCAGTCCCCCTCAAGCGGCCGGGCACCTTGCCAGTCTCCAGCCGCAGGTCCTCGTTGGCGTGCCAGTGCGCCCGCTGGGCAGATCGGACTCTGCAGTTCAGTGACATCGAGCCCACGGCGCACTTCCTGGTCTTGATGAAGCCGCGCAAGTGCTGCCAGAATCTGTCGATGACCTGGGTCCCGCCCTTGCACTTGAGGACCCGTCCGCCAGGAAGCTTGTGCTGAAACGTCTTGGCGTACGTGGGGTTCATCCACGCCTGGCGGCCGTTCTTCTTCACTGGCTTGCCGTTCTTCATGAGCCGCTTCCTCTGCACGACGCGGTCGTGAATCATCCCCTCGACCTTGAGCGTGTAAGTCTTTGCTCCGTCAGTGTGGAGCACGACGTTCCTGTTTGTCAAGTTCTGGTGACCGAACGGCGCCCAATCAGGCAAGCGTATCGCACCTGGGCCTGGCGCTCTCTGCTTTGCGAGGCATGGCTTGAGCCGCGTCAGAACCAGCGTCTTGCGCTTGCCTCGTTCGATGGCGCCGCCCCACTGCTCCCATTGGACCTGCTCGTTCTCAGCTCGATCTGCGTGGTCAGCAAGTAGGTCTCCCCTGAGGTCGACCTCGTCGGCCTCGACATCTTTCCAAGTCCGCCCCTGCCCTCCGAAAGTGATCAGCTTCTCCTGCTGCACCGCGTCAATCTTTCGGCGCGCATCGTTGCGCTCGCCCATGCTCTCGATCGCCTTGTGGTTCTTGCCCGTGAGCGCGTGGATCTTGGCAAGGGGGGCGCCGTTCACGACGGCGAATAGCACTGCGGCCTGTTCCTGCAAGGGCACAGCGGCAGCCCCAGAGCCGCTGGTGAAGACCATGTGCCCGCTCTGGGGCAGGGGGAACTTTTGGCAACCGCGATGGTTGCAGCGGTGCCGAGGGCCGCGGTTCTGGACGTCCTTCAGGAGGCCGAGGGTTCCTTTCGTGCAGAAGGAGCACGTCTGGCCTTCCAAGTTCTCCAAAATCTGGCCCCCCAGCAACGTGTCAACGATCTCGCGGTCGCTGGCGCGAATGAAATCGAACATGTTCCTCTTGAAACCACTGCGCTCCGGCCTGGACGTGCAAGTTCTCTTGCCATGCCGCACGTAGGGCACTTTCCTCGTACTCTGGTTTGGCGCCCGCTTCTGGGCCATTGTTTTTCCCGCGTGGTTCGGGGCTTTCCGCTTGGACTTCCCCGTCTTCAGGACAGCGCGCGCCTTGCCTCGCTTAGGCGCGGGGAAGACGCGCCCAGTCGCCATGGCGCGGCCTTGGCGCGGCTCTGGCCGACGACCCTGGCAGAGAACGGGCAGGCGCGCCTTATCTTCTGGCACGCTGGCGCGCTTGGGCCCAGACAGACACGGAGGGTGACGCGGAGGGTGGCAATAATGGCGGTTTTGCCGAAGGAACCAAAAGTCTCGCGACCGCGCAAACACGGAAGGCGGCGCGAATGTGTTTTTTTAGCATCTACGGCTGCTCTATGAAGCCCGCGGCTCTCATATTGGTCTCTGGCGGCCGAGGTACGCGCGTCGGTTGCAACAGTGGCGGTTTTGCCGAAGGAACCCAAGGTCTCGCGACCACACAAACACGGAGGGCGGCCAAGATGTGTTTTTTAGCATCTACGGCTGCTCTATGAAGCCCGTGGCTCTATTGGTCTCTGGCGGCCGAGGTACGCGCGTCGGTTGCGACAGTGGCGGTTTCGCCGAAGGAACCCAAGGTCTCGCGACCACGCAAACACGGAAGGCGGCCAGGATTTTTTTTTTTTTTTTTTTTTTTTTTTTTTTTTTTTTTTTTTTTTTTTTTTGTGTGTGTTTTTTATAACATCTACGGCTGCTCTATGAAGCCCGTGGCTCTCATATTGGTCTCTGACGGCCGAGGTGCACACGTCGGTTGCAACAATGGCGGTTTTGCCGAAGAAACCCAAGGTCTCGCGACCACACAAACACGGAAGGCGGCACGAATGTGTGATGTTGGCATCTACGGCTGCTCTATGAAGCCCGTGGCTCTCATATTGGCCTCTGGCGGCCGAGGTACGCGCGTCGGTTGCAACAGTGGCGGTTTTGCCGAAGGAACCCAAGGTCTCGCGACCACGCGCACACGGAGGGCGGCCAAGATGTGTTTTTTTAGCATCTACGGCTGCTCTATGAAGCCCGTGGCTCTCATATTGGTCTCTGGCGGCCGAGGTACGCGCGTCGGTTGCGACAGTGGCGGTTTTGCCGAAGGGACCCAAGGTCTCGCGACCACGCAGACACGGAAGGCGGCCAGGATGTGTTTTGTTTTAGCGTCTACGGCTGCTCTATGAAGCCCGTGGCTCTCATATTGGTCTCTGGCGGCCGAGGTGCGCGCGTCGGTTGCAGCAATGGCGGTTTTGCCGAAGGAACCCAAGGTCTCGCGACCACACAAACACGGAAGGCGGCACGAATGTTTTTTTTGTTTAAGCATCTACGGCCGCTCTATGAAGCCCGTGGCTCTCATATTGGTCTCTGGCGGCCGAGGTGCGCGCGTCGGTTGCAACAGTGGCGGTTTTGCCGAAGGAACCCAAGGTCTCGCGACCACGCAAACACGGCAGGCGGCCAGGATGTGTTTTTTTAGCATCTACGGCTGCTCTATGAAGCCCGTGGCTCTCATATTGGTCTCTGTCGGCCGAGGTACGCGCGTCGGTTGCGACCGTGGCGGTTTTGCCGAAGGAACCCAAGGTCTCGCGACCACACAAACACCGAAGGCGGCCAGGATGTGTTTTTTTAGCATCTACGGTTGCTCAATCTAGTTCGTGGGTCCCTTTTGTGTCTGTGGTGGTCCAAATGCGCTCGTCGAGAAAATCAGAGGCCTCACGCGCGCCCGACGACGCCGATCACGATCGAGATGTCGTCGGGCTTGGGCGCGCCGTGCAGCTGCGCGCACTTGACCATCTGGTCGGCCGCGGCGTGAACGTCATCATCGGTGCCTGTGAGTATGACCTTGAAGCTCTCGTAAGGCACGTTATCAACGATGCCGTCGGAGCAACAGATGATGATGTCTCCCGGGTTCAAATTGACGGTGCCGTAGTCGGCCTGTGCCACGGCGCGCTCCAGATCAACGCCAACCCTGGCCACGCCAGGCAAAAACGCGACCTGCTTCGGACCGATCACCTCGCCTGAAGCCGTGGCGATGCGGACGTGGTGGTCCCGGGTGATAAATAGCCGCGCGTAGCGTCCCGTCAGAGCCGACTTGTGCCATGCCTGGATGGACACGTCCCCGATGTGGCAGTAGGCCATCTTGGTGCCAGACACAGAGAAAAAACCGACCGTGGTGGAGCCGTGCAACGTGGTGGTCTGGATGGCGAGCTGCAAGAACCTCGTGGTTTATGCTGCTGTGGTTTACGTAACTGTTTTGTTTGTCGTTTGGTGCGTGCGTATGTTATTGTTCCTGTTTGCTCGGGCCTCGCCGCCCACGCCGCAGAAGCGTCCGTGGCCATGCTCCGCACGTCGCCGCCGATCTCGCGGACCACCTGGGCGTCGAACTCTTGCTTGTCGCCCGCCCAGTGGAACCGCTGGCGGAGTAAGAAGCGGAGGCAGTTCCGGAAGTCCCACGAGAGGTCCTCAGGGTTGAAGCGGGGCGCGACTCCGCTTACCCCGTCGCACGCGACGCCCCAATTAGCCGCCGCCGCCGTCATGTCGGCTCTGGGCTTGTTGAGGAGCGGGCGCTGCGCCTTGGCAGCGCGCCAGGAGGCGAGGCGGGGCATCATCGGCATTGCTGCCGCGAGGGTTCGTGGAAGCTGCGCCGCGAGTTCTGCGTCGAAGCAGGCTCGGGCCAGAACGCGTTGCAACGTGAAGAAAAAGTTGTGTCGAAAGCGAGTGAGGGCGATGGAGAAGAAGCGTAGAGGGGAAGACGGGAAGACGGATGAGGAACAGGAGGGGCAGGAGGGGGGGGGGGAGGGGAATGAGGAGGAGGAGGGGGAGGACGAGGGGGAGGAGGGAAGAGGAGGGGGAGCAGGAAGAGGAGAATGAGGAGGAGGATGGGATGGAGGAGGAAGTACAGGAGGAGGACGACGACGAGGAGGAGACGGAGGGGGGAGGAGGATGAGGAGGAGGAGGAGGAGAAGGAGGAGGAAGGGGAGGAGGAGGGAGAGGAGGAGGAGGAAAAATAAGCGGAGGAGGATGGGGCGGGGGAGGGGAGGGCGAGGAGGAGGAGGAAGGAGGAGGAGGAGAAGGAGGAGGAGGAGGAGGAGGAGGAGGCGATTGATGAGGAAGGGAGGGTCGAGAATGCACGTATTGTACTGGAAAGCATTCTACTGCAACAATGCAAATGCAATCCAACGCAATGCAACACAGAACTGGGGAATTTCGCTCCTGTGTGATCTGGAGCGCTTCGCCCCTTGGAGCCTTTCGCCCCGTCTCTGGATGCAGCATTTCGCCCCGTCTCTGGATGGAGCGGTTCGCCCCTGTGTATCTGGAGCGTTTCGCCCCTTGGAGCCTGTCGCCCCGTCTCTGGATGGAGCATTTCGCCCCGTCTCTGGATGGAGCAGTTCGCCCCTAGGTATCTGGAGCGTTTCGCCCCTTGGAGCCTTTCGCCCCGTCTCTGGATGGAGCATTTCGCCCCGTCTCTGGATGGAGCAGTTCGCACCTATGTATCTGGAGCATCTCGCCCCTTGGAGCCTATCGCCCCGTCTCTGGATGGAGCAGCTCGCCCCTGCGTGATCTGGAGCACGTCGCCCCTTGGAACATGTCGCCCCGTATCTGACTGGAACAATTCGCCACCTGGGAGCGGGAGGGCAATGGAGAGCAAAGAAGAGGATGAGGAAGAGATGAGTTGAAGACATGAACAGGGCACGAAAATGTAGATTGGGGGGGGGGGGGGGGTGCGAGCGTATATATCTATATGTATGTATGTAAATGTAGTGTGTATGTATGTATGTATGGTTGTGTGTGTGTATGTGTGTGTGTGTATGTATGTATGTATGTATGTATATGTACTAATTATATATAATTATATATATATTATCTATATATATATGCGCGTCGTCCCCCCCCCCCCCCCCCCCAGGGGCGACGCGCGCACCGGGAAATCTTGTAGTAGATGCGTCGTGGCGGGCGCTTTCTGGCCACACCGCTGGGGAAACGATGTGCTGCAGGATGGCTATATCGTATGCTCGGGTCGGACGCACGCCTCCAAGGCGGACATCGTGAAGGCGTCACGACGCCCAGACATCCCCCAGCTCGCGCCCTCTGGCCTCCGAGGGGCTCGCTTGGGATCCTTTCTGGGGGGCCTCTGGGAGGCTCTACGTCGCCACGGCTGGATCCGCTTCGAAAATTCTTGCCAGGATGCGCTTCGGACAGGTCTGGAGCCTCATGTTGATCCTCTAGTCCAGGTCGCGAGATAAACACGGCCGACGGCTGTTCGTAATTTTCTTCTTCTTCCCCGGGCCCAGGAATTTGAGGTCCACGCTGCGAGCAAAATCCGATGTCGGGGATCCAGGTCCGAAGGGTTGGTTTTGTCAGTCCCAGTGAGAGACCGAATTTTGACCTCTGGGCATTGTTTTCGGGCCCAACCAAGAGTAGGTCCAGGATGGGAAGCAGCCCCCACGGAAGGGGTCGAGACTCTTCGGGCCGAGGGCTGAGCAAAAAACGTCTTCGTGTGCCTGGGGATCGAGAAACCTTCTGGTGACGGACTGTCCAGTGACTCGGGAAGTTTCAGGACATACGTCTAGGCCTCCTAGATGGGGTCGGAGTAGATGGGGTCGGAGGAAGTCGCCGCATCGCCGATGCATCGCCGATGCATCGACGATGCATCGGCGATGCGGCTCGATGTGGGGCCCAATTTTCTCCACGCAGAGGGCGTCGATGCATCGCCGATGCATCGTCGATGCGGCGAGCCCCTCCGACCCCATCTGCCCCGACCCCATCTGGGAGGCCTCTGTCTGTTTGGGGGTCGAGAAGCCGTCCGGGGACGGACCGTCCAGTGACTCCGAAAGCTGCAGTCGGCGTCACCCCAACGTACTGGTACTACGTGTGCGTCGCCCCCGACGGCGGGGCGACGACGCGCGCACCGAGAAATCCTGTAGTAGATGCGTCGTGGCCTCCGCTTTCTGGCCACACCGCTCGGGAAATGATGTGCTACAAGATGGCCATACTACGCATATGCTCGGGTCGGACGCGCGCCCACAAGGAAGACACATAGTATTAGTACGTGTCTCTGGGCGTCCCACTCAGAATCTGCGCGGCCTGCCGCTGGGCGGCTCGAAGCTTTCTGGGAGACCCCCCGAGCGCGCTCGAGACCTCCTCGGGCAAACGGCCCGGGCCCCCCACGGTCGGCCCGCCCCGAGATGCACTTTTCGACGCGCCCGACGGCGTGGTAACTCCAGCAAAGAGACTCCTCCTCCTCCCTCTCCTCCTCCTCCTCCTCCTCCTCCTCCTCCTCCTCCTCCTCCTCCTCCTCCTTCTCCTCCCTGTTTGTTCGGTAGCAAATCATGGGAGCCTGGTATACCATTTTGAATCCGCATTTAGCGCTGATTAGCGTCGATTGGCGTCTTGGGGTCGATGAGATAGCGCCGATCTAGCGTCGCTTAGCGCCGCTTAGCGTGGCTTAGCGTCGATGTCGCGTCGATTTGCGTCGATTTGGCCTCGACGACCGTCGATTCGCAGGAGCCGAGGAGATGGTACGGGAGGCTCCCATGAGTTGTCACCCAAGGTCCGGGGATCTCCAGCAAAGGGACCAGAATCCGAAATTGGAGCATATACATTTTCAGTGTGTTCTTCGATCCCCGGACTTTTTGAGGGTCGGGGACGACGTCGGGGTGGTGTGGTGTATACTTGGTTCCCCGCTTTCCGGGGGGAACGACGAAACATGTATACACCAGGATTCCGTATACACGATGATCTGTTTTCCTGAGCGAGTCACGGTGCGGGGCCAGAAAAAGCGTCGGTATACAATTCGGCTCCTTACAAAGAGAAACAGGTTTCTCAGCCAGCAGGCGCGAAGCTCCCTGCCTTGCCCAGCTCCCTGCCTTGAGCGCGGGGGGGGGCCCTGTTGGATTCCTCTACAGCGTGGCGTGCTGCACGCTCCGATGTCTCTCCCGAAGCCCTTTGGGGCACAGTGGAGGCTTCTGGGATCCTCCTCCTCCTCCTCCTCCTCCTCCTCCTCCTCCTCCTCATCCTCTCGGGGGAGCTCCTGCCGCGAAGCTCCCTGCCTTGCCCTGGAAGGCCTCGCGCTTCTCGCCGCGCACCCTCCTGCGGGCCGGCGTCTTCGCCCCGCTTGGGGCCCCCGCGGGGCCCTCACGGATCGATCCTGGGCTGACAGACTCGGCGGCGAGCGCAGGGGGGAAGTCATCAGGAGACCTTCTCGTCCTCGATCCTCGATCCTTGATCTTACTCCTCGATCCTCCTCCTCCTTTTTCTCCTTCTCCTCCTCTTCCTCCCTCCTCCTCCCTCCTCCTGCGGGGCGGGCCTTCTCAGAAGGCTCGGAAGTTCCCCGGCCTCCCGAGGAGTTTTCCAAGCCTCCCCGGAAGGCACAGAAGACCTCTCGGAAGGCGCGAGGGCCTCCGAGAAGTCCGGCGGCCTCCCGAGAGGGCCTCCTCCTCCTCGCGCCCCCGGCCCTCGCCGCCTGCCGACCCCCCTGGAGGGTCGGCCGGGAGCCCTGGTCGCGACGCCATCGTGGCGTCTGGTCCTGCCGCGCCGGGTCTCGGGGTCCGCCCCCCTCGCCTCCCCTGGCTCGAGGGAAGCTGCGTCCACATGGGAGGAGACGGAGGAGACGGAGGAGGAGGAGGAGGAGGAGGAGGAGGAGGAGGAGGAGGAGGAGGAAGAGGAGGAGAGAGGAGGAGGAGGAGGAGGAGGAGGAGGAGGAGGAGGCGGAAGGAGGAGAGGAGGAGGAGGAGGAGCAGGAGGAGGAGGAGGAGGCCCTTGCGGGAGAGGCCCCCCTCCCTTTCCCCCTCCAGCGCCAAGAAGGGGAGGGGGGGGGTCAGGACCCCCCCCACTTCAAGGGGGGGGGGATGGGAGGGTTCGGACCCCCCTCCCCTTTTAACATGTGGAGGGGGGGGGTACGGTCGAAAATCTCACCCCCCTTTTGAAGGGGGGGAGGGGGGGGTTCTGCAAGCCCCCCCCCTCCTTTTGTGTATTCAGGGTCATCCACTGGCGCGCTTTCAAGAAGATGCTTTCGGGCACGGGAGAGGCGCGCGGAACGGAGTCGAATCGGCAACCGCCACGAAAGTACCACGGAGATCGGAATCTCGTCGATTCGAGCGCATGGCGGTTTTGATTGCGTGGCTTGCAGGCGCGCGCGAGAGATGATTTTGCTCGGTCTACGAGCATGCATTATAATTATGATTCATTCCCTCGCGCGCGCCAGGACCTCGTTCTCCTACTGTGCGACCCATGTATCTAAAAACTGTTTATGGGCCGCGCCGGGGAAATTATAATCGGTCCCTGGCATGTCGGTTCGGTAGCTTCGAGGATTCGGTTTGCCGACGACGCCGACCCGCCGCGGCGGCGGCGCCAGCTCGGGCGTTCTAGGGCACATGGAGCCGCCAGCTCAAGAAAGACTTCGACTTCATCCTGAAGTACCTTCCACGAGAAAGGTGGCCCAGCCAAACCCAGCACGACCGCGACGTCATCAACTGGGCCCGACAGAAGCCGAAGCTCGTCACCAACGCGGTCAAGGCAGCGGTGAAGGCCTACATTCACCACGCTCGCGACCAGGCTCAGAACGCCAAGATCCAGAAGGACATTCAGATGATCCCCGCAGTGGCTCCAACAGACGAGTTCGACCACCGCGACGACACCAACAATCAGAAGTACGTCTGCTACGCCTGCGGCCGCGTCGCCACCAGGCAAGGCATGGCACTCCATATGGGCAGGGATCATCCTGACCACGAGGACCCGCGCTTATGGGCTTCTGGCACTGCATGCCGATGCTGCCAGGCCGAGCACCACACGCTCCCGAGGCCGATCAAGCACCTCTCGGTGGCCCACCGCTGCCGCAAATCCTGGCACGCCTGGCACCTCCAGACGTTGGAACCTCTGACGGAGCAGCAGATAGCAGCGAACTTCAACGCCATCGCCGAGGCCACGAACACAAACAAGAAGCAAGGACGCCACCCAACCTTCAGCGACAAGCCAGCCCACCCGTGCGATGTCACGCCGCTGCCGCTCCTGGAGACGTCGCCCGTCGCACCGAAAGTATTTGCCAGACTCGAGTCCTCGTCAAGCAGGCCACCCGTGAGCTCGCCTGCTGGACCAGCCGAGCGCCAAGGGGCCGTCTTCATCACCGACCGCCCTCGACAGGCCGCCGACCTCCAGCAGATCATGGCCAACAGCGGGATCACGTGCATCAGCGGCCTGGACTATACCCTGATCGCAATCCACAGCGATGGCCAGTCTTCAGAACCAATGCCAGAATTTCGGCGAGTACAACGAAGGGTCCAACACGGCGAGATCGCGGCCATCGACGCAGAGTTCCCACGACGGACCTGGGACCGACGCGACACCAGCGACGTTCTGGGCAACAGAGCCAGTAGGCGGCGTACCCCTGAGGCTCCCTGGGGACTGTCAGAAGCGTCCGAGATTATCGCCGACGAGATCTTCGCTGCCAACAACGTTACTAGAGAGGTCATGCGGGCGCTCTTCGCGGCGACCACAGCCCGCGTCCCCTTCGTCGCCGCCGTCGCGGCTGAGTCGACCTGCAGGTAGATTCCCGAATACCAGTACATTGCCAACTAGACGACGGTTAACGAGACCTCGACACAGCACTATGACCTCCGCGCCACGCAGAGCCTCGACAACGGCACCCGCGACGACCTCCGCAACAGACTGACCGCAGCAAACGCAGAGGAGATCGATTTTGCCATCGCCGACCTGCTCGACTGCAACGTCGTGGCTTGATGGGGTCTCAGAACCGCAACCGCTACGCCGACCAGCCAGAATCTGAACACCATCAATGCGTACTACATTGAACGAGAAGACGAAGCGCCACCTCCCGCTGAGGCTGATCGCGACGAAGAGCGACCCCGGCGACAAGCTCAAAGGCGCCAGGACGCAAGTCCTGAGGAAGCCCCGAGTGCGTGGGAACACCTCAGGCAGCGTCGCTAAGTTTTGCAGGAGGCGTTAGGACGCAAGTCCTGGGGAAGCCCCGAATTCGAGGGAACGCCCAAGGCACAAGTCGCCACGTTTTGTAGTATTGAAGCAGGCAGCGATCGCACGCGCACAAGTTCAGCGGTTACCAGCAAGCCAGACGACAGACGACCTCTACGACCGCCAAGCACCACCGACCAACGGTGTGTGTGTGTGTGTGTGTGTGTGTGGGGGGGGGGGGGGGGGCAGGACGAAGCGCTGCCCGCGCCTACCAGGGGGGATGGTGAGGGGCAGGGGGGGGGGGGGGGGGGGGGGTAGGACGGCCACTACCTGCGCCCCCGCGGTCCGCCCAAGCTCGCCACCCCCACCATCCCCGCGGCGGAGACGGAGCTACCCGAGCGCCCGATGGGCGAAGCAAGAGCAGCATAAACATCCATCAACAACGAGTCCGACGACCAACCGACCACCCTCTCCAGCACTACCACCCCGTCAACCACGACCATCACCTCGGCATGACCCGCCCGCTGAAAAGAGGACAGGAGCAGGGTCCTCAGCAGCGCGGCACGCCGACACCACGACGGTGCCAGCTGAAAGGAGTACAGGAGCAGGGTCCTCAACAGCGTGGCAGGACGAGAACGCCTGGAAGCCGCCGGAAAGGAGGACAGGAGCAGGGTCCTCGGAAGCGGTCCCTAGCACGAGCGCCCGAGAAAGGAGGACAGGAGCAGGGTCCCCAGCTGCGCGGCAAAGCATCGACCACCACCGACCACGCCAGGAGGAGGACGCGGCGCACCGTGCGCCGCGGCGAGGCCGCCCCCAGCCCTCGGGCCGACAGGGGGGTGCGGCCCGCACCCCGTGTAACGTGCGGGGGCTGCTAGCTCGGCCGAGCTTGCATGCGGCTAGAGAAGGTCGGGGGCCCTTCAGCTTGCGAGCAAAGGAGGGGCGCCCGTCGCAGAGGAGTACGTGGAGGACCAGTTCGGCGCCCACCTGAGGTTGACGGACTGATGGGCTACGGCGCGCCCAGCGGCGGCGCGCCGCAGAGCCCTCGCTGAAAGGGCTCGCTGAAATGGGGAGGAGGAGGAGAAGGAGGAGGGGGGGGAGGAGGAGGAGGGGGAGGAGGAGGAGGAGGCCCTTGCGGGAGAGACCCCCCTCCCTGTCCCCTTCCAGCGCCAAGGAGGGGAAGGGGGGGGGGGGAGGTCAGGCCCCCCCCCCCACCCACCCACCACCACCCACACACACGCGCACGCGCGCACGCACGCACGCACACACACACACACACGCACGCACGCACGCACGCACGCACGCACGCACGCACGCACACACACACATACACATGCACATGCACATGCACATGCACATGCACATGCACATGCACATGCACATGCACATGCACATGCACATGCACATGCACATGCCCAATGCACATCAACATAGCACATGCACATGCACATGCACATGCACATGCACATGCACATGCAACAGCACATGCACATGCAACATGCACATGCCAAACGCAACGTGCAACATGCACATGCACATGCACATGCACATCCATGCACATACACATTCAGCAGCACATGCAACATGCAACATGCGCATGCGCATGCACAGATGGCACATGCACATGCACATGCACATGCACATGCACATGCACATGCACATGCACATGCTCACATAGCACATGCACATCACATGCACATTGCCACATGCACATGCACATGGCACATGGCACATGGCACATGGCACATGCACATGCACATGCACATGCACATGCACATGCACATGCACATGCACATGCACATGCACATGGCACATGGCACATGGCACATGGCACATGGCACATGGCACATGGCACATGGCACATGGCACATGGCACATGGCACATGGCACATGGCACATGGCACATTGCTCATGCACATGCACATGCACATGCACATGCACATTCACATGCACATGCACATGGCACATGGCACATGGCACATGGCACATGCACATGCACATGCACATGCACATG